ACCCCTCACTGTCAGCCCTCAGTGAACCTACACACTCATCCAGCATCAACATCCGTCCTCTGAGCTACTTTGAGGACGTGACGGCGGCCCTGTCAGCAGTCAGAGACAAACTACAGGACGTCCTGAGAGAGGAATGGACAAACGTGTCACCGACTGAAGTGGATGTTTTACTGTCAGCAGCAGAGCCCACCACCAGAGCTGGGTTCTTCAAATATTCAAAGGAGATCACTCTTGATCCAAACACAGCATTCACACAGCTGTTATTATCTGAGGGGAGCAGAAAAGCAACACGCATGGGACAACGACAGTCTTATTCTAGTCGCCCAGACAGATTCACTGATTATCCTCAGGTCCTGAGTAGAGAGAGTCTGACTGGACGTTGTTACTGGGAGGTGGAGCGGAAAGGGGGGACAGTTTCTGTAGCAGTCACATACAAGAATATCAGCAGAGCAGGGATCGGAGGTGAATGTGGATTTGGAAACAATGACAAATCTTGGTCCTTAGAGTGTAACCAAAACAGTTATTCATTTCGTTACAACAATATCAACACTCCCGTCTCAGGTCCTCAGTCCTCCAGAGTAGGAGTGTACCTGGATCACAGAGCAGGTATTCTGTCCTTCTACAGCATCTCTGAAACCATGACTCTCCTCCACAGAGTCCAGACCACATTCACTCAGCCGCTACATGCTGGAGTTCGGCTTTATTATCCTCATGGAACCACAGCTGAGTTGTGTAAACTGAAATAGCCTGAAGTCATGTGAGGAACTCTTCTACTTCTTAAACTCACTGTGTGTCCATCATTGTTGCTGAGAGCTGATTGTTCATGTCTTCACTGCACAGAGATCAGCTGTCAATCAAACATTATGGGATGTGCTTTAACATCTTCTCATGAGTTGTTCTGTAGATGTTGGAGTTTCTTTAGGCGGCGCTCCTTCCTGTGTCTGTTTAGCCATGGAGGCTGTCACTGCTCAGGAGGATTTCTGTTAACCTCAACTCATATTTCTCTGCATGGAAATGTAAACTTTGCTCTAAATATTAGTTGAATATCGATATTGATGTATTTGTATGTTGTTGTTTCTCTTGTAAAGCCTGAGTCTTCAGAGAGAAAGCACCAGAGCTTCTTTCATTGGAGATATTTTATTCTGGCCACTTTCTCAACAATAGAGACATTTATAATCACATGTATTATTTTGACAGATTATATATTATTGTTGCTTCCCAAATTAACGAACAAATGAGTTCCCAGATGGTTATAACACTTATTTCATCATAAAATGTTTATTTAAAATGATATTACTTACTGTCATGATCATAATCAATAAGTCAATCATTTATTATTCTCCTGTCAATAGCTTAGAGTCTTTGTTTGGGAAATACATTGAATAATATTACAGTTATTGTTTTGCAGACTAATTGTTGTTGTTGTTGTTGTTGTTGTTATCCAAATAGAAAGTGGGTACTCTGATGTTTTATAGAACATTAATTATCATGATAATAATCAATAAGTAAATCATGTATGATTCTGTTTGAAATAGCTGAGATTCTGATTGTGTGGATGAAGTGAATCTGATCATGAAATCATTGAACAGACTTTACAGATGGGATGTGTGATCAAATTAAATGTTTGGATATTAATAAAGGTTTGTCTTTCAAAAATAAAAAAAGGATGTTCTTCTTGTATTATGTCCAAGGTAACATTTAACCATTTTCATTCAAATCATTTCACTTTTCTACATTTCTCCGCTAAGTTCAGCAGTTTAGCTAAAAGCAGCTACAGTCACCATTCAACTATTAACATATTCAGCTTTCTCTGCATTTTCAGCTAATTCAGCAACACATGTGCGCAGCTTACAGCTTTCACACACATTTTCAGCCGGAAATGCATTTTCTAGTCTAACTACAACTGCCTTCCTCCATGAAACTACTAGCTTTCTGTGGTGAGTATTTCACTATATTTAAATGTGTATACTTGTGGAAGCCCATTCTCTAAAAAGGAAAGTTGCATAGTTAACAATGGTGAAAGTAACTTAGTACATTTACTCAAGTAATGTAGCCTACTTAAGTATAATTCGGGTACTTCTACTTCCACATCATTAATACAAATCTGCATATGAACTAAAGGTATTCAAGAAATGTAGTGGGGTAGAATTACAAAGTACCTCAAAAATGTACTTGAGAAAATCTACTTTTCACTGTACTTCAATACATTTCATAGGCTTTTAATTCACTTCATTTATTTGACAAAAGTAGTTGCTTTTTATACAAATTCATGTGTTTATATGATATATATGTTCTACAAATTGACTCAGTACTTTCCAAAATGTGCTCCATATTGACGAAGTCCAACTTTAAAAAACTCATCTATTTTCTCATGATGAAAACAAGATATTATAATATTGTATAATAATACAACTCTTATATAAAAGAGTACTTTTACTTTTGATACCTGAGTACATTTAGCTGATAATACTTCTGCCCAATAGACAATAAATAGAACTTCTTTGGAAAGTTCAACACTTTTCTTCTGTGACAGTTTCAACCTGCATGGGCAGTAACTATAGTAACGCAGTGTAGGCGGAGCCGTGACGTCATCTTCAATGCGAACCACAGAAAATCAACATCAGCCGTTAGCTGTTAGCACTCAAGCTCACAGCTCCTCATATCTGTTCAGAAACTAGACAAAAGTTAAACAAGTACAAACCACAGACTGTCTGTGTCATGGCGAATACAGTCGCTGCTTTATTTATGTCTGTAGGCCGTTGTTGTGAGTGTGGACGGTCGGGGGATATACAACGTTAGCTTAGCCAAACTTTCCATAAAGACAGATCTGAGATATTCTGGGGGTAGAGTGATTCAATGAGTAATTATTTTATGAGCTATTGCCTAATTTAATTATGTGCCAATGCTTATGGACCAGCATGCACAATGAGGTCCTAAAACAGGTAGGCCTACTTAGAAGTGGATACAGCCTAAATAAAGTTATCACATTCACCTTTGCTCTTCCTGCTAATGAGTTCCAGGTACACTTTGAGGGGTGTTTCTCTTCCTCTGAGCCACAGAAAATAAATCCTTGGAACATTTTTCTTTTGAATTTCAATGGTTTGGTGAATAGCAGTGGGTGTGTGTTGTCTTGTGGCTGAAATTAGGCTATAAAGCTTGTGGCAAAAAATGTCACCAAGATGGGTGCATGCAGAGATCCTAGGGCTGCAAGAAATATGGATTTGAACTAGGAATACTTTTTGATGTGCTTATACTTCCAATATACAAGTATGGGCACTTCCAAAAAGGGATTTTAAACATTGCTGATCCACAAAGCCTGTCATTTATTTCAACTCATCAAGTGGAGGTTTTTTAAGAAATGTTTAAGTTTTTCTCCCGAGTTTAGAAACAAGAAAGATTAAAATACGAAACCAGTAAACTTGAATAAGAACACAAGAATACATCGGACGTGTCTCCCAGTGTAAAATAATTGCAACATATCATGTTTCTGTGTTGCTTCAACAGTTATCTTAAGCTGCTAATGTGCCAGTGTTAATCTTACTGGGTTACCACGGTAGCCAGTTTGAAAGCCAGACTATTTAGGCAAAGTTTGCCAAAATATGAACTGATATTTGTAATATAACGAGGATATGGAACCGTAGACCAACCTATGTGGATTTTTTTACATTGGGTATTTATTTGTTTCACCATAATGGATAAGTGTTGGAGTAGCATCGTAGATAACGGCTGCTAACCGCTGGTAGCTAACCGCTGGTAGCTAACTGCTGCTAACCGTTGGTAGCTAACCGTTGGTAGCTAAAGGCTGCTAACCGTTATTAGTGTGAATGTTGTGCCCTCGCCATAAAACACAATGTCGCTGTAACTCCAATTGACACGGTCCGATCGTCCTCCAATCTTCACTTGTATATCACCGGCCAACAGCTCTACGTCAAATCTGACATCTCACCATATACCGTTTCCATGGAAACGCATCTCTCACCAAAAAACACGATGTTGTCGTAATGCCTATGAAAAGGGTCAAAACAGCACCAGACTTCAGATAATGGTCAATGGTCCAGCCCTCAATTACATTTCATTTTTTTTTCATCAACATGTCTATGTGCCACAGTACAAACCACAGACTGTCTGTGTCATGGCGAATACAGTCGCTGGTTTATTTATGTCTGTAGGCCGTTGTTGTGAGTGTGGACGGTCGGGGGGATATACAACGTTAGCTTAGCCTGTTAAGGAATAATTCTTCTAGATATCTAACCTTTTGCTCTGTGACGTTTTATGATCTACTCTGACGTCTGTTATCTCCTTTAAGGAAAGGCCTTGGTGCCATATGTGTTGTTGTCACCAGTTTGTGACCGGTCAACTTGTCTGGCACGAGGGGTAATTGTTGTGAGAACGCTGAGGCACTTCTTTATCGGTGTTTGTGGACTCTAAGATGTGAAATCCTTGAGGCCATGAGTGTCGGACGCAGGTGGCTCAGTGTTCCCAGCTGTTTAGTCTACTCCTTCAGAGATGTTGATTTCTCTCTGTGAACCAGTCTAGCATAGAGAGAGGCTCTTCAGAATTGACGTGGCAACTCTACCGAAGAGTCAGAACCTCTGACTCTTTGACTTGTGATGTGAATCCTCCGGCCGAATACTCTGAATAAACCCATCAGTGTTTGACATCAAAGCTCCAACTCTCACCGTGTCTCCTTCCTGAGTCGGTGACTCCATGCATTACTGCACAGAAGTTTCCTCCACATAGCCAATCTCCATTCAGAAAACACACATTTTAAAAGGTTTTTTGCCTGCCGTCTGTCTGCAGACTTGTCAAAGCATTGATTCATGGTTTTTACTAACCGGTATCAGTATGTTGTTACTTCGGCATCATTTTGAAACGTGTATTACAATTAAATCACGGTAACATATGTTCATTTTGTTGTAGTTGTAGCTCCATTGCCAGCGATTCTCTCTCTAGTTCAGCATATTCAGCCCGGTTGTTGGCCCGGAAAGAACCTGGATTTTGGAGAGCCAGAAAAACTGTGAAACAGTACCGTTAGCCTCTTTGTAAACAGCGTAGTACTCATATTGTCTTTTATTGGGAATAAGTCAAACAATCTGCATATGTTGTGGATGTGGAAGTAGTCAGTGAAACAACAGAAGGAGGCATGAGACTCTTTGATGAATCCAGATGATTCACTTTGATAAATGTTGTGTTTTCTGTTGTGCAGAGAGTCCAGACTACAAGCAGCGGGTTCAGTCCATCAAAGATCTGGTCCGACAGCTGCCCGTCTGCAACCACGACACCATGCAGACTCTCTTCAAGCACCTCAGGAAGTGAGAAAAACACTCTCTTACTGCTGTATCATTTGTTTTTCCTTTTCATTTGCTTGCTGTGTATAATGCCGACAAATCAAATCACACTTTTTATGCATTTCTCTGGCGACATCTGCGGCCTGAGGCTTTTTGAGTTGTCCGTCAGAAATAACTTCCAAACATCTGTCTGTCTGTACGCCTCGTTCTCCTGAACATATTTCAAGGAATGCAGAGGGAACCTTTTCAGATCTGGCACAAATGTGGACTGTGACTTAAAGATGAACTGATCAGAAATGTGCGATGAAAGCTAACTGCTAATTAGGACAATTTCACAAATAGGATTAGATAGGCTGATGACAATTTGGACGAATTTGGTTGAGGCATACGATCGAGACTCTGTAATACTAGTATAGCGGATTTATGAGTTGATAATAATGAAAGAATATTGAGTTTTTCCTCCATATTTGTAGGCTTTTTCTCATTCTATAAATGTACACTTATATTTTCAGAAAATGACCAAAATAAATCACGAATGAATGTATAAATACGTCTAAGAAATTCTGAGTTTTTTACTCGTTACTCCCCTGCCCAGGTTTGTATATTTCACCTACGACAGCCTAAATAAACCATCATACATATCTGATTATAAAAATACTACAGCATTACGGAGCAGATTGTAAACAGTATTTCTGAGAGAATTCTGTGTTTATTACGTATCTGCAACCACGTTTTTTGCACTACTAAATACTGTGAATATTTACTTCATTATGTGACCGTCTATGTTTCCTGTAGATATTTAATTGCTCGTTTTACTGCACTGTTAGTGTAACGTTTTGTTATTATGCTGCTGTGTTTATTGTATTTTTGTAACTCTGGCACAACAATTTCCTTCAGGATAAATAAAGTCTTATCTTATGTCAGGATTTATTTTCATTTCCAAATGATGTGTCCTCTCCAGGGTGATCGAGTACGGCGAGGAGAACCGTATGACCACTCAGAGCGTGACCATCGTGTGCGGCCCCACGCTGCTGCGCCCCGAACAGGAGACGTGGAACATCGCGGTCCACATGGTGTACCAGAACCAGATCGTGGAGCTCATACTGCTGGAGTACGAGAACATTTTCGGCAGGTAGAGAGAGACGCTGGAGGACGAGCCTCTTGTTTTTCTCTCTCACTCTCCCAACGCAGAGCTCTTCCTAACCCAGCGTGGCCCTGCCCAACACAGCCTGGCTCGGATCGTCTCGGCTCAGCTTCTCTTCATCTCAAATTGTAGTCACTGGCTTTCTCCTCTCGTACAACCTCCGGACCAAAGCTACGCAAATGTGTCATAAACCAAACCATAGATGTATCTAACTAGCGACCAAGAAACAGGTTTGCACTTTTCAGTATCTCATTTTCTCCTGCAGCTGCGTTTGTGCCACTTTACTGCAATAGTTGACGTCCAAATGTCCCGACACTGGATTCCTAATACAGGGCCATGAACGCCTCATCTACTGCACAGAGACCAAAGCATCAGTTGGCTCGAAGTAAGAAGGAGGCGTCAGTATTGGAGGTTGGAGACTGGACTGTATTGTATAACCTGTCACCACTCCTGTAAGAACCACACTGGGGAACCAAGAGAAGAAACCTAACTGCTGTGCTTGGCTTTAGACGTTTAGACACTAAGAGAAGCAACGTGGAGAAGAAGGGATGATATGGAACGCTTTTATTTAGGAATGATATGAACATTTACTGCCCTTTCCGTACAGTTCTCCCTTTGTCTTTCCTTTTATTTCAGCAGGAATGCTTCACCATCAAAATGACCACTTGTATATCAAATTACTCGACCCGTGTTTTCTTAAGTTTTTGAAGAAGACGTCGTTTTTCTTGTATCCCTCTACGGTAGGAAGAATTAAAAAAACTGTTTGATGAATTGACGTAAATTGGGACGTATTTTAAACCCTTTATTTAAAAGCTCTCACACATTTTGTGCAGTAAAGCTCAATTATCCTGTCACATGCTAGTAATTCCAATTTATTTATAAAACCTTACATTATAAAAGACATCAAAGTTTCACATTTGAGCATCATTTGACCCTCCGTGAGACTAGTCATGTGGAAGTGCTTTAAATAGTAAGCTCTTAATGAAGAATTCAAGATAACGTGGTGAATAATTGTCTTTTTGGAAAATGGTCATTCCTTTAAACGTTCCCCTTCTGCCTCTTTCCATCTCTTTCTTTGTTCTTCTTCCTGTATTCCTGAAATACTGGACCAGGGTCCTCTGAACACACGAGAGGTTTCCACTCTGTAATATATCTGCACGCCACCTTCTCCATTTGGCTTTATGAACAAATCACCTTGCAGCAGCCAGAACTTGAACAACAAACAAATGGTACTCAGCTGTGTCTTTCCTTGACTCATGGATATGAAATGTTAAGGCCAACCGTCTTTGAACCATGACTCCATTGATACATCTGTACAGTGTTTATGTGTGTGCATGTGGACGAGGGAGGGGTGGATGGATGAATGGACTCAATGACAATATATTGTACAAATAGTGAATATAAATATGTATGCTTGGAATGTTAAAGAATATGATAAGAGGGAGAAATCACTATTGTTATGATCGTTGTGTGACCAACAGAGGAATAAAGTTCTGAACTGGGGATGTGGAGGTTTACCTGAGGTTCAGGTAAATGAAAGATTGTTTGAATGTAACTTTGGAGAGTAACTGTTGGCTTTACCAAACTGGAATAAAGACCTCTGATAAGAGATATTTCCAAAGGAGATATGTGTTGTTTCTTTTACTTATGCAAACATTTACATCTGCGTTACATAAGCTCTATGTAAGTCAGTGTGAGGATCAAGAAGGTGACTTGTCTGATGATCATGCGTGTTCAAATATCTGCATGCTTCTCCTGTATTTAATCCTTTATAGCCAATCATTACAAAAATTAAATATAAACCATAAGGGACAAGACACAACATACATTATAGGTCAAACCTTTACAACTTCTACTTTCACGATTGATTTAGAAAGCAGAAGTTTATAGATATGTTTTAGTTTGTATAATTGACAAACAAGATTACAATGTGACTACAGTGTAAGTCAGTAGGTCAAAAGTCTCAGTAACATCTTGACTTCATATTTGATCAGTTACACTAAATATCTCATATCTGACTTCCCATTCAATATATTAGATTCATTTTGTTCTATGTTGTATTCATCTGTCAGTAATGTCAGACAACTGTCAGAAACGTCCCTCACACACACACACACACACACACACACACACACACACACACACACACGCACACACACACACACACACACACACACACACAGGCAACCACACGCACACACAGGCAACATCTCTACCACACACACACACACACACACACACACACACACACGCACACACACACACACACACACACACACACACACACACACACACACACCACACACACACACACACACACACACACACACAGGCAACCACACGCACACACAGGCAACATCTCTACCACACACACACACACACTGAACATCTCTACAACACACACACACACACACACACGGAACATCTCTACAACACACACACACACTGAACCTCTCTACAACACACACACACACACACACACACACACACACACACACACACTGAACATCTCTACCAACACACACACACACACACACACACACACACACACACACACACACCACACACTGAACATCTCTACCACACACACACACACACACACACACACCACACACACACACACACACACACACACTGAACATCTCTACAACACACACACACACACTGAACATCTCTACAACACACACACACACTGAACATCTCTACAACACACACACACACACACACACACACACACACACTGAAGATCTCTACCACACACACACACACACACACACACACACACACACACACACACACACACACACACACACACACACACTGAACATCTCTACCACACACACACACCCACAGAACATCTCTACCACACACACACACACACACACACACACACACACACACACACACACACACACACACCACACACACACACACACACACACACACACCACACACACACACCACACACCAAAGGCCTTTGCCTCCCTAACCATTTATTGACGTCAGACATCTCATTTTCTTTTTCTCCACCTCACACTCTCCAGAACCACACACCCCTTCAAAAGAAAAGCCCTATAGATGTAATGCTACTTGAACTGACACTACTACGTCCATCTGATATGTAACTCCTTCAGCCTACTTTCAGCTGCAGAAACCATTCAACTATGAACTCATTCAGCTATTTCAGGACATTGAGGCTATACATGTTGTTTATACCTTTTTTAAACCTTTTCTTTTCAATATTAAGCTTCTTCACTATTTTTCCTACTCTTCCAGTTTAACATTTCACTTTCAAGTTTCCAACAAAGTCATTGCAATGCATTTGAGCTGTAACAATTTCATTCAAATCATTTAACTTTTCTGCATTTCTCCGCTAAGTTCAGCAACTGACTCACTTGGTCTCTGTAGCTACAAGCAGCTACCATTCAGCTAATAACATATTCAGCTTTTTCTGCATTTCAGCTAAATTCAGCCACAGATGTTCACAGTTTACAGCATTTGCACGCATTTTCTGCAGGAAATGCATTTTCTAGTTCTACTACTCCAACTACTTCTACTTCTAATACAACTACTGTTGTATGTACTTCCTGTACATTCAACTATTACATCAGTCAGCTATTTCAGGACATTCAGGCTATACATTTACAGTAGAGGAAATAAGTATTTGATCCCCTGCAGAATTTGTAAGTCTACCCACTTATTTTACAACTAAAAGCTCTCTTCAAATGTAGAGCAGGTTGGAAGCGAGGCTCTGTTTGTGAATGAGGAAACAGTTCAGAGTGTCAGCACTGCTCCTCCTGGAATGAGTCAGAGTTTGATAAGCCCTCCCTCTTCTTCCTGCTCTCAGACACAGCCAGCTCCACTCTGTATTTCCTGGTTCCTCCCCTTTAGATCCACACTGAGGAGGATGGGTGTAACCAACATGTGGGTAAAGTACAAGAGCTGATAGGCCACATTCACTGCACACACACATGCTGTTCAGATAACCTGTCACACTAGTTTCAGCTCTCAGGAAGTGAAACTCAGACACTCACTGCTACTGAGAGGTGAAATGGCGCAGAAAGGAGTTCAGCTGGACCGGGAAACCTTCTCTTGTTCGATCTGTCTGGATCTACTGAAGGATCCGGTGGCGACTCCCTGTGGACACAGCTACTGCATGAAGTGTATTAAAGCCCACTGGGATGGAGAGGATGAGAAGAAGATCCACAGCTGCCCTCAGTGTAGGCAGAGCTTCACACCGAGGCCTGTCCTGCTGAAAAACACCATGTTAGCAGCTTTAGTGGAGGAGCTGAAGAAGACTGGACTCCAAGCTGCTCCTGCTGATCACTGCTATGCTGGAGCTGAAGATGTGGCCTGTGATGTCTGCACTGGGAGGAAATTGAGAGCCTGTAAGTCCTGTCTTACGTGTTTTATATCTTATTGTGACAAACACCTCCAGCGTCATTATAACGTAGCTCAATTAAAAAAACACAAGCTGGTGGAGCCCTCCAAGAAGCTCCAGGAGAACATCTGCTCTCTTCACGACGAGGTGATGAAGATGTTCTGCCGCACTGATCAGCAGTGTATCTGTTATCTCTGGTCTGTGGACGAACACAAAGGCCACGACACAGTGTCAACTGCAGCAGAAAGGACTGAGAGGCAGAGAGAGCTGGAGGGGAGTCGAGAAAACATCCAGCAGAGAATCCAGGACAGAGAGAAGGAGGTGAAGCTGCTTCAGCAGGAGGTGGAGGCCGTCAATGGCTCTGCTGATAAAGCAGTGGAGGACAGTGAGAAGATGTTCACTGAGCTGATCCGTCTCATGGAGAAAAGAAGCTCTGATGTGAAGCAGCAGGTCAGATCCCAGCAGAAGAGAGAAGTGAGTCGAGTCAGAGAGCTTCAGGAGAAGCTGGAGCAGGAGATGGCTGAGCTGAAGAGGAGAGACGCTGAGCTGAAGCTGCTGTCTCACACAGAGGATCACAACCAGTTTCTGCTCAGCTACCCCTCACTGTCAGCCCTCAGTGAACCTACACACTCATCCAGCATCAACATCCGTCCTCTGAGCTACTTTGAGGACGTGACGGCGGCCCTGTCAGCAGTCAGAGACAAACTACAGGACGCCCTGAGAGAGGAATGGACAAACATCTCACCGACTGAAGTGGATGTTTTACTGTCAGCAGCAGAGCCCACCACCAGATCTGGGTTCTTAAAATATTCACAGGAGATCACTCTGGATCCAAACACAGCAAACACAGAGCTGTTATTATCTGAGGGGAGCAGAAAAGCAACATTCATGAAACAACCACAGTCTTCTAGTCACCCAGACAGATTCACTGCTTATGCTCAGGTCCTGAGTAGAGAGAGTCTGACTGGACGTTGTTACTGGGAGGTGGAGTGGAGAGGGGGAGAAGTTTCTGTAGCAGTCGCATACAAGAATATCAGCAGAGCAGGGAGTGGGGTTGAATGTGGATTTGGACTCAATGACAAATCTTGGACCTTAGAGTGTAAACAAAACAGTTATTCATTTTTTTACAACAATATCAACACTCCCGTCTCAGGTCCTCTGTCCTCCAGAGTAGGAGTGTACCTGGATCACAGAGCAGGCGTTCTGTCCTTCTACAGCATCTCTGAAACCATGACTCTCCTCCACAGAGTCCAGACCACATTCACTCAGCCGCTACATGCTGGAGTTCGGTTTTATTATCCTTATGGAGCCACAGCTGAGTTTTGTAAACTGAAATAGCCTGAAGTCATTTGAGGAACTCTTCTACTTCTTAAACTCATTGTGTGTCCATCATTGTTGCTGAGAGCTGATTGTTCATGTCTTCACTGCACAGAGATCAGCTGTCAATCAAACATTATGGGATGTGCTTTAACATCTTCTCATGAGTTGTTCTGTAGATGTTGGAGTTTCTTTAGGCGGCGCTCCTTCCTGTGTCTGTTTAGCCATGGAGGCTGTCACTGCTCAGGAGGATTTCTGTTAACCTCAACTCATATTTCTCTGCATGGAAATGTAAACTTTGCTCTAAATATTTGTTGAATATCGATATTGATGTATTTGTATGTTGTTGTTTCTCTTGTAAAGCTTGAGTCTTCAGAGAGAAAGCACCAGAGCTTCTTTCATTTTAGATATTTTATTCTGGCCACTTTCTCAACAATAGAGACATTTATAATCACATGTATTATTTTGACAGATTATATATTATTGTTGCTTCCCAAATTAACGAACAAATGAGTTCCCAGATGGTTATAACACTTATTTCATCATAAAATGTTTATTTAAAATGATATTACTTACTGTCATGATCATAATCAATAAGTCAATCATTTATTATTCTCCTGTCAATAGCTTAGAGTATTTGTTTGGGAAATACATTGTATAATATTACAGTTATTGTTTTGCAGACTAATTGTTGTTGTTGTTGTTGTTATCCAAATAGAAAGTGGGTACTCTGATGTTTTATAGAACATTAATTATCATGATAATAATCAATAAGTAAATCATGTATGATTCTGTTTGAAATAGCTGAGATTCTGATTGTGTGGATGAAGTGAATCTGATCATGAAATCATTGAACAGACTTTACTGATGGGATGTGTGATCAAATTAAATGTTTGGATATTAATAAAGGTTTGTCTTTCAAAAATAAAAAAAGGATGTTCTTCTTGTATTATGTCCAAGGTGCCGTAACATTTAACCATTTTCATTCAAATCATTTCACTTTTCTACATTTCTCCGCTAAGTTCAGCAGTTTAGCTCAAAGCAGCTACAGTCACCATTCAACTATTAACATATTCAGCTTTCTCTGCATTTTCAGCTAATTCAGCAACACATGTGCGCAGCTTACAGCTTTCACACGCATTTTCAGCCGGAAATGCATTTTCTAGTCTAACTTCAACTGCCTTCCTCCATGAAACTACCAGCTTTCTGTGGTGAGTATTTCACTATATTTAAATGTGTATACTTGTGGAAGCCCATTCTCTAAAAAGGAAAGTTGCATAGTTAACAATGGTGAAAGTAACTTAGTACATTTACTCAAGTAATGTAGCCTACTTAAGTATAATTCGGGTACTTCTACTTCCACATCATTAATACAAATCTGCATATGAACTAAAGGTATTAAAGAAATGTAGTGGGGTAGAATTACAAAGTACCTCAAAAATGTACTTGATAAAATCTACTTTTCACTGTACTTCAATACATTTCAGAGGCTTTTAATGCACTTCATTTATTTGACAAAAGTAGTTGCTTTTTATACAAATTCATGTGTTTATATGATATATATGTTCTACAAATTGACTCAGTACTTTCCAAAATGTGCTCCATATTGACGAAGTCCAACATTAAAAAAACTCATGTATTTTCTCATGATGAAAACAAGATATTATAATATTGTATAATAATACAACTCTTATATAAAAGAGTACTTTTACTTTTGATACCTGAGTACATTTAGCTGATAATACTTCTGCCCAATAGACAATAAATAGAAGTTCTTTGGAAAGTTCAACACTTTTCTTCCGTGACAGTTTCAACCTGCATGGCACTAAAATAAATATATATCAAAGGTGAACCTGTCAGACTCCAAGTGGGAGGACTTCCATGTGATCACTGTGTGTGTGTGTGTGTGTGTGTGTGTGTGTGTGTGTGTGTGTGTGTGTGTGTGTGTGTGTGGTGTGTGTGTGTGTGGTGTGCGTGCGTGCGTGCGTGCGTGCGTGCGTGCGTGCGTGCGTGCGTGCGTGCGTGCGTGCGTGCGTGCGTGCGTGCGTGCGTGCGTGTGTATGTGTGTGTGTGTGTCACTGGAGCGTTGAAGATGTACTTCAGAGAGCTGCCGGAGCCTCTCTTCACCTACGCTCTCTTCCACGACTTCATCAGCGCAATCAGTACGTGAAACACACAGCTGCACCAACACTATCTGCAGTCATTCACGCATCAACTCTGAAGTCAGTCTACTGTCTGTAACACCAGGAAGCCTCTCTGATGGCGCATTCCCACTGCAGGGCCTCGCACGGCTTAGTACGGTATAGTTAGGCCTTGGTAGGCCAGGCTCACTTTATGCTGCATTTCCATTACAGTTTAGTATCTGGGCAGTAACTATAGAGTGGCGAAGTCACGCCCATCTACTTCCGCCCCATGGGACCTTATTTTGGAAAAATAATGTATTGAAGTCAATGGAGAGAGAAAACTTATCTTTCGATCCCGTTTGAATTGTGCCATGAATTACACATATGATGTTTGTCAATCTTAAAAAATAATTTCCATGTCAAAAAAGTCACAGTTTGTCGTAAAACTGTTGAAATATAAGACTATGAAAAATACGTAACTAGAAAGACTACAAATCCCAGAGTCGCGTAAGTGATGTCACAATTATTTTCCCCCACTAAGAGATAGCTAAGATCAGCGCCATATAGATATAATCTATCTATATGGCGCTGGCTAAGATAAGATAACTTTAACAAGATGCCTGTGTGCTTAGTACCAGGTTGTTATCATACCAGCAATGGGTCTTGCTCGTTCTTTCGCTTCCCGTCTGATGAAAGGACCAGGAGTACTCTGGATCATGCTAGCTAGTAGCTAGCACGTTAGTTAGCATTACAGCCTTGTCATTTTTATTAGCCTTAACATGAAGTAACATGAAGTAACCCAAAATGTTAAACAGTAAGAGTAGTAGTCATATTTCGTGAACCCTTTGAAGAGTACTGTCACCGGTGTGATCATTCTATAATACACAATTTAAGCCTGGGGGAGAAATGCTAACGCTAATGCTAGCGATCTTCTCTACTTCATGCTATCTGCACAAATGGTTGACATTAAACATTAAAACGACCAGGCAGTTCAGAGAGAATCAAAGGAAGGCAGGCAGGCAGCTTTGCATGACATTCTTCAGGACGTGTTTCATTGTGGTGATAGTGAGGGTAGTCAATCGTTTTGTTGACAAGACAGTAGTGACGGCCATCTTGGTGACGTGTGTTGTTGACCAGAGATGTAGTTCATTGAGCGTTTCACACAAACAAATGTGTTACTTCACAGTTTTACGACACATTTATTTATTTTTGACTTGCAAAATTATCTTTTAAATTGACAAACATCATATGTGTAATTCGTGGCACAATTCAAACGGGATTGAAAGATAATCTTTCTCTCTCCATTGACTTCAATACATAATTTTTCCGAAATAAGGTCCCATGGAGGTCCACCGGAAGGGGAGGGACTTCGCCACTCTATAGTAACGCAGTGTAGGCGGAGCCGTGACGTCATCTTCAATGCGAACCACAGAAAAACAACATCAGCCGTTAGCTGTTAGCCCTTACCACCCGATTAAATTTACCAAAGCAATTGAAAAAGAGATTGGAAAAATTAAATTTGCTAAATTCATGAACAACAAGCGGGTATTGATACATGCCAATAACAAACAGCAGCAGGAAAAGATTCTGGGAATGAACTCACTGAATGGGGAGAAAATGAAGGCGCATGTCCCAGGAGCAATGGCAAATCTGAGAGGAGTAATCTCAGGAGTACCATTGGACATGTCAATGGAAGATGTTAAAAGTGAATTAAAAGGAGGCAAAATAGTGGAAGTCACAAGGCTTAAAAGCAAACGGGATGGTACACTCAAAGAAACATTATCAGTTCTCATTCAGTTTGAGAGAACCTTACCTAAGGCAGTACAAATGGGATATTGAACTTCATGGTTAGGGAGTACATCCCCAAACCTCTCAGGTGCTACGCATGTCAACGAATGGGGCACACAGCGCAGCAGTGTAAAGGACAGCTAAGGTGTGCGAGATGCGGAGGACAACATGAGTATGGGAAATGTGAAAAGGATGCAAAGGTTAAATGTTGTAACTGCGGAGGAGATCACAGTGCTGTAGCACATCGAAAGGCAATCCAAAGCTTTTACTTTTGCTATACATTTAAGCAATAGCTCACGACAGGCCGTGGTATATGGCCATTATATCACAGTTAAGGGGACGGGTTCGGCCCGACGCGAAGCATGCAGTTTGCTTTTCAGCCCAACTGTATACAGTTAAATCGACCGGACTTCTTTCTGCAGATGTGAGCGTCCTTTACAACGGTCAATAAGTCCTTGCTGCACATTATCCCTTACATGCTTCCATCTTAAGCTTTGTTAGTTAGTTAGTTAGTTTCGTAACGGACGTAATGTAACGGTTGTAACGGTTGTAGCTTTTCTCAGACGCGGAGGGATACTGACTTGTTGTGAAAAGTAACTACAATTCTACCCGTGATATACGCTCATTATATCACGGCTAAGAACCAATCAGATTACTGTTTTTTATAAAAGTCAAATCAAGCAAAGCATTCAGATAAAGTGCAACAGAGACACATTTAAGTAAGACACTAATTAAAAAGCCAAGAGACAACAAATTAAAACAAGCTAAACAAATGTAACTTGTTCTTTATACACCTTTTCAGGTTTAAACAGACTTTGGATCACCAGATGTTTTACTATCACTTGCCTCTCAGGTTTCACTACTACACATACCAATAAGTCAATAGTATTTAGATTTTCCTAACATAAATCCAATTGCTTTAACCTAACAATATCACATTGTTATATTGAATGTGTCTTCCATTGTGCCAGTTTTCCACAGGAATCAGGAAGTCAATGTTTATAGTGATAATATTATATTACATTCTTATATTTGTTGTGTGAAGTCTTAGGCTGACAGAATTCATACTGTTTGATTTAACATAAAGTAATCTGGCACAGCTTCTAGATCAGATTAGGCAAACACTAAGCGAGGACTCTGGACTGTTGTCATGACGCTGGCTATGTCTCTCCCTGTCTTCAGATCAGGTGTTCGGCTGCAGTCTGTCCACTTTGTGTCAAAGAGAGAACGGCTCCGTGCCAATCTTTGTCACGATGTGCATCGACCACGTGGAGAACAATGGTGGGTTTCACACATGTGCCACTTTACCTTGACCTTTGACCTCAGTTATTTCAGTTTCAGTCATAAAGAAGGGTGAGGTACACTGCTTCATGATAACACAGGTACATTCAGAGTGGCTTCCAAACCATATCAATAATCTAGATCACTGAACTGATTTATGGTTTTCTCCCATGATCCTTTGCAGGTCTGTTTGTAGACGGGCTGTACAGAGTCAGTGGGAACCTGGCTATCATACAGAAACTACGCTTTGCTATCAATCATGGTAAGTTTCTATTAGTTATATACAAGAAAACACAAGGGGACAAAGTCAGGAATGAGTCATAATATTATCAAACTTTATTTATCTTGCACCTTTCAAACCGAGTTAGGGGCGTAACATAAACATAAGACCTACAACCCTAAAAAAGGGTCTGCGTTTTAGCACTTTCAGTCCCTTCGTCTCAAAGTCAACCGCTTTTTGAGTAAGAAGACTGAAATATTATAATTTTTCAACATAAAATATGTCAGTAAATAGCTCACTGTTCAATATAAAGCTGCAAAAAGAATTAAGAAATAAAGAATTACAATCAGACAGAGTATATATACTTGCATATTAACAATAGAAAGATGTATCTATTGAGTACACATTGTAAAAATACGCAATACAAAAACATACAGCATCATTTAGAAAACACTATAACAGACTAACCTCCTAGATAAACTATAAACATAGGATATATACGTTATAAAATGTGAAAGTTGTCATATTTGAGTGCATTATGTACAAATTGTTTAGGTTTATTGAAGTTAGATAGAAATCTGTGTGAAATTGAAGTAGTTTATTGCCTAGTGTTTAAATGTTACTTCTGCCGAAAGCATTTACGCTTCACAAATTCTGAAGGTGGTTTTAATATGTGGAGATGATCCTGAAGAACAAAACGTGAAAGTGTCATAACGTGTGTTAGCCACTGAGCTTATTTTCTGCTAAATCCCAATACATCATCCCTGCATCACTTTATCCCGATTGAAATGTCTGGTTTCATTTCCTTACGTAAGACTTTGCGTCTGTGTTCGGGTCTCTGAGTGAAGGGTTTGTATTTGCAGATGAGAGGGTGAACCTGTCAGACTCCAAGTGGGAGGACTTCCATGTGATCACTGGAGCGTTGAAGATGTACTTCAGAGAGCTGCCGGAGCCTCTCTTCACCTACGCTCTCTTCCACGACTTCATCAGCGCAATCAGTACGTGAAACACACAGCTGCACCAACACTATCTGCAGTCATTCACGCATCAACTCTGAAGTCAGTCTACTGTCTGTAACACCAGGAAGCCTCTCTGATGGCGCATTCCCACTGCAGGGCCTCGCACGGCTTAGTACGGTATAGTTAGGCCTTGGTAGGCCAGGCTCACTTTATGCTGCGTTTCCATTACAGTTTATTAGCTGGGCAGTAACTATAGTAACGCAGTGTAGGCAGAGCCGTGACGTCATCTTCAATGCGAACCACAGAAAAACAACATCAGCCGTTAGCTGTTAGCACTCAGAGCTCACAGCTCCTCATATCTGTTCAGAAACTAGACAAAAGTGAAACAAGTACAAACCACAGACTGCCTGTGTCATGGTGAATACAGTCGCTGCTTTATTTATGTCTGTCGGCCGTTGTTGTGAGTGTGGACGGTCGGAGCATATACAACGTTAGCTTAGCCAAACTCCATTCAGAAAACACGCATTTAAAAGGTTTTTCGCCTGCCGTCTGTCTGCAGACTTGTCAAAGCATTAATTCATGGTTTTTACTAACCGGTATCAGTATGTTGTTACTTCGGCATCATTTTGAAACGTGTATTACAATTAAATCACGGTAAAATGTGTTCATTTTGTTGTAGTTGTAGGTAGCCCCCTTGCCAGCGATTCTCTCTCTAGTTCAGCATACTCAGCCCGGTTGTTGGCCCGGAAAGAACCTGGATTTTGGAGAGCCAGAAAAACTGTGAAACAGTACCTGTTAGCCGGAACTACCCCTAGTGGAAACTCAACCAAAAACGGGCCGGGTTTGGCACGGCACGCTTAAACCGTGCTACGCGCTGCAGTGGAAATGCGCCATAACTGAATTCTTCTCTTCTCAATTATCCTTTTATTTCGAGGAGTTTCTTATGGAGATATTTTTGTGACAGATTCTTGAATACTTTATTTACCATTTATTAGGTATTTTAGCTTTTGCAGTAAGATATTGAATCCTTTTTTTTGCTCCAATTAAGTACACCCATACATCGTCATTGTTTCATTGACTAGGGTCATGTCAACAGCATATTAAGTTTCAATATTTCATACGCTGATGTTATTCCGAACAGCTTTCTTTGGACATGCAGTACTTTCAGAATATGTGTTTCAATTTGGATTTTTTTACCACATTTTGCAACACAGCCTAGCAAACACCTAGCTTTTTTGTGGTTGTTGCAAAACAGTGATAAAGGAATGGCAGCTCGTTAACTGCAAGTTGATAAGGAGGGGAAGTAAGCATCAATAGCAAGGCTGCATGTAAACTGGATTATTTTAAAAATGCTCTTTTTAAATATCTTTGTAAACAGCGTAGTACTCATATTGTCTTTTATTGGGAATAAGTAAAACAATCTGCATATGTTGTGGATGTGGAAGTAGTCAGTGAAACAACAGAAGGAGGCATGAGACTCTGTGATGAATCCAGATGATTCACTTTGATAAATGTTGTGTTTTCTGTTGTGCAGAGAGTCCAGACTACAAGCAGCGGGTTCAGTCCATCAAAGATCTGGTCCGACAGCTGCCCGTCTGCAACCACGACACCATGCAGACTCTCTTCAAGCACCTCAGGAAGTGAGAAACACACTCTCTTACTGCTCTATCATTTGTTTTTCCTTTTCTTTTGCTTGCTGTGTATAATGCCGACAAATCAAATCACACTTTGTTTGCCTTTCTCTGGCGACATCTGCGGCCTGAGGCTTTTTGAGTTGTCCGTCAGAAATAACTTCCAAACATCTGTCTGTCTGTCCGCCTCGTTCTCCTGAACATATTTCAAGGAATGCATAGAGGGAACCTTTTCAGATCTGGCACAAATATGGACTGTGACTTAAAGATGAACTGATCAGAAATGTGCGATGAAAGCTAACTGCTAATTAGGACAATTTCACAAATAGGATTAGATAGGCTGATGACAATTTGGACGAATTTGGTTGAGGCATACGATCGAGACTCTGTAATACTAGTATAGCGGATTTATGAGTTGATAATAATTAAAGAATATTGAGTTTTTCTCCATATTTGTAGGCTTTTTCTCATTCTTTGACCCCCGCAACATATCTGAAAACTCACCAAATTTTGCACGCGCGTCAGAAGTGGTGCAACTTCAGATGTGTAATTGGTTCCGGAACTTTGCGTCAAAAATTGCGTAGGCCACGCCCACTTCCGTTTTTAACGTAAACTCCCCCCACTTTAACTTTCACGTAAACGAACGAAACTCGCTACGCATATCTAGGGTGCGGAGACAAACCAAAAAGCCTCTTGGAGGGGTATAAAATAACGTACAGGAAGCCGGCCATTTTGAATTTGGCGTCGGAAAAACGCGATGCTCCAAACGGCCCAAAACTTCACAGGTTTGATAACGATGCAGCCCTCAACACATCTAGGCGTATTAGGGGGGTGTCATCAATTTCCGTTGCCATGGCGACAGATCACTCGCCATCAAACACAATGTTTATGATACTGCTGTAAATCCCATGTACGTTGTCCGATCGGCCTGAAACTTCCCACGTTTGCCAACGGCCGAGTCCTCGAGACACCTAGACACACACCTCGACGTGCGGACAACAGCCTGCGGAGCGTCGAAGACCCGCTCAACGCTGCTTGCAGCTTTAATTATTATTATTATTATTGTTGTTGTTGCTATAATGCAGGGGTATTATTATCCAGTGGAATGCCCTTACCTACTGGCCTAGTTAATTCAGTGGTTACTTTTGTTTGGCTGGGCAGTGTAGTTTTACACACCGTCTTATTTGACTTTCTCAGGACTTAAAACTGTTTTTTTGGGGGCAGACCCCACAAAGAAAAAAATATATTTACGCACGTAAGGTCATCATCTTAAGAGTTTTTTATGCTCATCGAGTCATCCGTGAGCAGAGCATCAAGTTGGCATGCCTATTAGAGCTGAATGCGGCGATTACCATGTTGTTCAGCAAAACGCCTCACAAACTTATTAAGATCTAAAGCTTTAGTGTAATTACGTATCTGCCACTGCGTTTTTTGCACTACTAAATATTGTTAATATTTACTTAATTATGTGACCGTCTATGTTTCCTGTAGATATTTAATTGCTCGTTTTACTGCACTGTTAGTGTACAGTTTTGTTATTATGCTGCTGAGTTTATTGTATTTTTGTAACTCTGGTACAACAATTTCCTTCAGGATAAATAAAGTCTTATCTTATGTCAGGATTTATTTTCATTTCCAAATGATGTGTCCTCTCCAGGGTGATCGAGTACGGCGAGGAGAACCATATGACCACTCAGAGCGTGGCCATCGTGTACGGCCACACGCTGCTGCGCCCCGAACAGGAGACGTGGAACATCGCGGTCCACATGGTGTACCAGAACCAGATCGTGGAGCTCATACTGCTGGAGTACGAGAACATTTTCGGCAGGTAGAGAGAGACGCTGGAGGACGAGCCTCTTGTTTTTCTCTCTCACTCTCCCAACGCAGAGCTCTCCCTAACCCAGCGTGGCCCTGCCCAACACAGCCTGGCTCGGATCAGCTCGACTCAGCTTCTCTTCATCTCAAATTGTAGTCACTGGCTTTCTCCTCTCGTACAACCTCCGGACCAAAGCTACGCAAATGTGTCATAAACCAAATCATAGATGTATCTAACTAGTGACCAAGAAACAGGTTTGCACTTTTCAGTATCTCATTTTCTCCTGCAGCTGCGTTTGTGCCACTTTACTGTAATAGTTGACGTCCAAATGTCCCGACACTGGATTCCTAATACAGGGCCATGAACGCCTCGTCTACTGCACAGAGACCAAAGCATCAGTTGGCTCGAAGTAAGGAGGCGGCGTCAGTATTGGAGGTTGGAGGCTGGACTGTATTGTATAACCTGTCACCACTCCTGTAAGAACCACACTGGGGAACCAAGAGAAGAAACCTAACTGCTGTGCTTGGCTTTAGACGTTTAGACACTAAGAGAAGCAACGTGGAGAAGAAGGGATGATATGGAACGCTTTTATTTCGGAATGATATGAACATTTACTGCCCTTTCCGTACAGTTCTCCCATTGTCTTTCCTTTTATTTCAGCAGGAATGCTTCACCATCAAAATGACCACTTGTATATCAAATTACTCGACCCGTGTTTTCTTAAGTTTTTGAAGAAGATGTCGTTTTTTTTGTATCCCTCTACGGTAGGAAGAATTCAAAAAACAGTTTGATGAATTGACGTAAATTGGGACGTATTTTAAACCTTTTATTTAAAAGCTCTCACATTTTGTGTAATAAAGCTCAATTATCCTGTCACATGCTAGTAATTCCATTTATTTATAAAACCTTACATTATAAAAGACATCAAAGTGTCACATTTGAGCATTATTTGACCCTCCGTGAAACTAGTCATGTGGAAGTGCTTTAAATAGTAAGCTCTTAATGAAGAATTCAAGATAACATGTGGTGAATAATTGTCTTTTTGGAAAATGGTCATTCCTTTAAACGTTCCCCTTCTGCCTCTTTCCATCTCTTTCTTTGTTCTTCTTCCTGTATTCCTGAAATACTGGACCAGGGTCCTCTGAACACACGAGAGGTTTCCACTCTGTAATATATCTGCACGCGACCTTCTCCATTTGGCTTTATGAACAAATCACCTTGCAACAGCCAGAACTTGAACAACAAACAAATGGTACTCAGCTGTGTCTTTCCTTGACTCATGGATATGAAATGTTAAGGCCAACCGTCTTTGAACCATGACTCCATTGATACATCTGTACAGTGTTTATGTGTGTGCATGTGGACGAGGGGGGGGGGTGGATGGATGAATGGACTCAATGACAATATATTGTACAAATAGTGAATATAAATATGTATGCTTGGAATGTTAAAGAATATGATAAGAGGGAGAAATCACTATTGTTGTGATCGTTGTGTGACCAACAGAGGAATAAAGTTCTGAACTGGGGATGTGGAGGTTTACCTGTGGTTCAGGTAATGAAAGATTGTTTGAATGTAACTTTGGAGAGTAACTGTTGGCTTTACCAAACTGGAATAAAGACCTCTGATAAGAGATATTTCCAAAGGAGATATGTGTTGTTTCTTTTACTTATGCAAACATTTACATCTGCGTTACATAAGCTCTATGTAAGTCAGTGTGAGGATCAAGAAGGTGACTTGTCTGATGATCATGCGTGTTCAAATATCTGCATGCTTCTCCTGTATTTAATCCTTTATAGCCCATCATTTAAAACAAATAAACCATAAGGGACAAGACACAACATACATTATAGGTCAAACCTTTACAACTTCTACTTTCACGATTGATTTAGAAAGCAAGAAGTTTATAGATATGTTTTAGTTTTGTAAGGAATGCGTGGAAAGGGTAGGACCCAAATGCAGACTACAAAACAAAGTAACAAGGTCTAGAAACAAAAACGAGCTTTATTCTAAAAGCCGAACAATAGCATGGCATGAAACACATAGGTTCTACAGAAACTGACCGTGACCAACATGGTGGGAGACAGGAGAAACAAACAATGAACCGACAAGGCACACAGGGGAAGACAAGACTAAATACAGAGAGGGGTAATCACAAGACGAGACACAGCTGGGGTAAGGGAGGCAGAAACACAAGGGCAACAGGTGAACACAATCAAACAAACCAGGGAAACTAAGACAGGAAGGCAAACACAGGAAGAAGGAACAGAGAAGACACAAGGAGGAAACATTTCAAAACAAAACAGGAAACCAGAGACAGAAAAAGACAAGACAAAAACACAACACAGACAGATCGTGACATAACCCCCCCCCCCCTCAAGGGACGGATCCCAGACGTCCCAAAAAACATAGTCCAACATTTCCAAAAGGGTGGGTGGAGGGGGTCCGGTGGACGGGCCCGGAAGGGGTCCCGGGCGGACGGCCCGGGGGCAAGGCAGAGTCCAAAAAGGGGGCGAAGGCCACAGCGGGCGAACTCAGGGGGCCGGGCATCAGAGCAAAGGCAGCGGCTCTCAGGGGACCGGGCTCGAGGCGAAGGCAGCGGCTGGAAGAATCAGGAGGCCGAGCCCGAGGGCGAAGACCGCGGCTGGGAGAACTCAGGAGGCCGGGCTCGAGGGCGAAGACTGCGGCACTCAGGGGGCCGGGCTCGAGGGCCGAACAAGAAGGCAGCGACGAGACAGCTCCGGAGTACGGGCAGGACCCAGTATCGGCCGGACAGGAACCGGAGCCGACGGGACAGGCGTAGACGGGGTCCTGAACATGACATGGGCTGGTGTCAATGGGACCCCGGATGGAGCAAGGGCTGGTGTCGACTGGACCCCCAACGGAACAGGACACAGAGTTGGCAGGGACCCCCGGTGGGAACAGGGTGTCGGCGGGACCTCCAACAGGACAGGATCTGGTGTTGGCAGGAAACCCGGCGGAGCAGTAGTCGGCGGGACCCCCAACAGGAACAGGATCTGGTGTTGGCAGGAAACCCGGCGGAGCAAGTAGTCGGCGGGACCCCCAACGGGACAGGAACATGGGGTCGGCAGGACCCCCAACGACACTGGACGTGGAGTTGGCAGGACACCTCAGCGGAACCCCCAACGGCACAGGACATAGGGTTGGCAAGACCCCCGGCAGAAGAGTAGTCGGCGGGACCCCCAATGGGACAGGACATGGAGTTGGCAAGACCCCTGGCAGGAGAGTAGTTCGGCGGGGACCTCCAACATCACAGGACCAGTAGGGTTGGCAGGACCCCCCGGCAGAAGAGTAGTCGGTGGGACCCCCAATGGGACAGGACATGGAGTTGGCAAGACCCCCGGCAGGAGAGTAGTCGGCGGGACCATCAACATCACAGGACATAGGGTTGGCAGGACCCCCGGCAGGAGAGTAGTCGGCGGGACCTCCAACATCACAGGACATAGGGTTGGCAGGGACCCCCGGCAGGAGAGTAGTCGGCGGGACCTCCAACATCACGGACATAGGGTTGGACAGGACCCCCGGCAGAAAGAGTAGTCGGCGGGACCTCACAACATCACAGGACATAGGGTTGGCAGGACCCCGGCCAAGAAGAGTAGTCGGCGGGACCTCCAACGGTACAGGACATGGGGTAGGCGTCGGCCGTAGAGCCAACAGGACACGGGGGGCTGGCGTCGGCCGGAGAGCCAACAGGAGACGGGGTGGGGTGTGGAGTCGGCCGGACCACCGACAGGACACGAGGGGCTGGAGTGGGCCGAACCACTGACAAAACACGGGGGGCTGGCGTCGGCCGTAGAGCCAACAGGACACGAGGTGCTGGAGTCGACCGGACCACCGACAGGACACGAGGGGCTGGAGTGGGCCGAACCACTGACAAAACACGGGGGGCTGGCGTCGGCCGGAGAGTCAACAGGACACGAGGGTGCTGGAGTCGGCCGGACCACCGACAGACACGAGGGGCTGGAGTGGGCCGAACCACTGACAAAACACGGGGGGCTGGCGTCGGCCGGGGAGCCATACTGGAGCCGAAACTGAAGCCGGAACCATGGCTGCTGGGCCGGGAACTGGGGCCGGAACCATGGCTGCTGGGGCCGGAACTGGGGCCGGAACCATGGCTGCTGGGCCAGAACTGGGGCTGGAACCATGGCTGCTCTGGGGCCAGAACTGGGGCCGGAACCATGGCTGTGTGGGCCGGTCTGGAGCCGGAACCATGACTGTTTGGGCCGGTTACTGGAGCAGGCACCCTGGCTGCTGGGCACGGAACCGGAACACGGAACCATGGCTGTGTGGGATGGTACTGGAGCACGGACCATGACTGTGTGGGGCAGTAACTTGGTGCACGGAACCATGACTGTGTGTGGCCGGTACTGGAGCAGGCACCCTGGCTGCTGGGCATGGAACAGAAGCCTGGAACACTGACTGTTGTGAGCCAGGTAATCGAACACGGAAGCATGGCTGTGTGGGCCGGGTACTGGTGCACGGATCCATGGCTGTGTGGGGCCGGTACTGGATTACGAGCTGGCTTCCTGACCTTGCGTTTCTTTGAGGTCTTTTGGAGGCTCCGTGGACCTCCAAACGCCAGACGGGATCCCAAAAAAGGGTCAGAGAATGGAGACTGGCACTCGGGGGCTACGTGCAAAAAAACTCTGAGCCATTCAGGCAACGAGCTCCTCAGCCATGGCATGTTAGACACCGCCATCTGTGCCTTCTTGAGGATAGCCTCTTTGTCCCTTCTTGACGAGGTTCCACTCCACTCGACATAATAACATTGAAGGGTAAGTCTAGATCGAACAGATCTACCTTAAAATCTTCAAAATCTGCTGGGTCCATATGTGGTCGGTTCATTCTGTAAGGAATGCGTGGAAAGGGTAGGACCCAAATGCAGACTACAAAACAAAGTAACAAGGTCTAGAAACAAAAACGAGCTTTATTCTAAAAGCCGAACAATAGCATGGCATGAAACACATAGGTTCTACAGAAACTGACCGTGACCAACATGGTGGGAGACAGGAGAAACAAACAATGAACCGACAAGGCACACAGGGGAAGACAAGACTAAATACAGAGAGGGGTAATCACAAGACGAGACACAGCTGGGGTAAGGGAGGCAGAAACACAAGGGCAACAGGTGAACACAATCAAACAATCAGACACACCAGGGAAACTAAGACAGGAAGGCAAACACAGGAAGAAGGAACAGAGAAGACCAAGGAGGAAAACATTTCAAAACAAAACAGGAAACCAGAGACAGAAAAATACAAGACAAAACACAACACAGACAGATCGTGACAAGTTTGTATAATTGACATACAAGATTACAATGTGACTACAGTGTAAGTCAGTAGGTCAAAAGTCTCAGTAACATCTTGACTTCATATTTGATCAATTACACTAAATATCTCATATCTGACTTCCCATTCATATATTAGATTCATTTTGTTCTAAATTGTATTCATCTGTCAGTAATGTCCCTCACACACACACACACTGAAGTAAAAAGATATGATTCTACACTGTATTGAAGTAAACATGTATTGTTTGAACTGTTTTAGGTAATCACAAACGGGTTTTGATAAATCACTTAGAATAGGAATGTTATTCTCACTTTTAAACTCACTGACCCAGAATTCTGTGTTTCACACACCAACTTGGCCTGTTTCACCCCTAAAAGCAGATGTCGTCATTAAAGACATCGTTAAATGTATGCAGAGGGGTTTGGATGTCTGAGGGGGGATAGTTTATGTGAAGAACTCATGGGAAAGGAATAGAGTTAAGATTCGAATCGAAGATAGAGGTTGACTTTTGACCTTAGGGGACTTTGGAATTTCAAGTCCTGGTGAGAACTATTGACCTCGACCAGAAGCGAATCCAGCCAATCAGGACACTTGGGGAGGTGATCAGCTTACACAGCTCCTCCTCACGGAACTCTGATTCGCTTGGGAGGAAAATGGGAAGGAAGAGTCGACACATCTCCGCCCCAAAATAAGGATATGTATACTGTTGTTTTTGAGTGTAAAAATACTTCTGGTTTGGTGAGTTGGTTGGTCCCGATATCTGTGTCCGCATCGCATCACAAACCTGAAGTCACTTTCATCTCGTTTGATGATTGGTTTGATCCCGTCACATTTATCTGCATCGCATCACAAACCTGAAGTCCGGAGTACTCGAGTACTCTGTATAACTTGTATATGTGTTTGGTTTCCTACCAGAAGTAAACTCAGATAATTTGTTATAACTTTGATTCCGGTGTTTTCAATTCCTTTCTTAATTTAATAGAGATCCAGCCTCATCCAACGAACGGCGCGTAGCAGAGGTGTTCTGCTCCAACAACACACACACACACACACACACACACACACACACACCACAGACACACACACACACACACACACACACACACACACACACACACCACACACACACACACACACACACACACACACCATCTCTACCACACACACACACACACCACAGAACATCTCTACCACACAACACAACACACACAAACACAGAACTCTCTACCACACACACACACCCACACACGCCGCATGCACCACACACACACACACACACACACCCACACCACCCACCATCTCTACCACACCACACAACACACACCACACACCACACACACACCACACACACACCCACACACACACCACACACACCCACCCAAACCACACCACACACACACACACACACACACACTGAACTCTCTCCACCCCACACACACACACACACACACACACACTGAACACTCTACCCACACACCCACACTGAACATCTCTACCACACACACCACAACACACACACACACACACACACACACACACCACACACACACACACACACACACACACACACACACACACACCACCACACACACACACACACACACACACACACACACACACCACCACCCTCCTTTGCCTCCCTAACCATTTATTGACGTCAGACATCTCATTTTCTTTTTCTCCACCTCACACTCTCCAGAACCACACACCCCTTCAAAAGAAAAGCCCTATAGATGTAATGCTACTTGAACTTACACTACTACGTCCATCTGATATGTAACTCCTTCAGCCTACTTTCAGCTGCAGAAACCATTCAACTATGAACTTATTCAGCTATTTCAGGACATTGAGGCTATACATGTTGTTTATACCTTTTTTAAACCTTTTCTTTTCAATATTAAGCTTCTTCACTATTTTTCCTCCTCTTCCAGTTTAACATTTCACTTTCAAGTTTCCAACAAAGTCATTGCAATGCATTTGAGCTGTAACAATTTCATTCAAATAATTTCACTTTTCTGCATTTCTCCGCTAAGTTCAGCAACACACTCACTTGGTCTCTGTAGCTAAAAGCAGCTACCATTCAGCTAATAACATATTCAGCTTTTTCTGCATTTCAGCTAAATTCAGCCACAGATGTTCACAGTTTTCAGCATTTGCACGCATTTTCATCAGGAAATGCATTTTCTAGTTCTACTACTCCAACTGCTACTACTTCTAATACAACTAATGTTGTATGTACTTCCTGTACATTCAACTATTAAATCAATCAGCTACTTCAGGACATTCAGGCTATACATTTACAGTAGAGGAAATAAGTATTTTATCCCCTGCAGAATTTGTAAGTTTACCCACTTATTTTACAACTAAAAGCTCTCTTCAAATGTAGAGCAGGTTGTAAGCGAGGCTCCGTTTGTGAATGAGGAAACAGTTCAGAGTGTCAGCGCTGCTCCTCCTCCTGGAATGAGTCAGAGTTTGATAAGCCCTCCCTCTTGTTCCTGCTCTCAGACACAGCCAGCTCCACTCTGTATTTCCTGGCTCCTCCCCTTTAGATCCACACTGAGGAGGATGGGTGTAACCAACATGTGGGTAAAGTACAAGAGCTGATAGGCCACATTCACTGCACACACACTTCCTGTTCAGATCACAGCTCACATAGTTTCAGCTTTCAGGAAGTGAAACTCAGACACTCGCTGCTACTGAGAGCTGAAATGGCGCAGAAAGGAGTTCAGCTGGACCGGGAAACCTTCTCGTGTTCGATCTGTCTGGATCTACTGAAGGATCCGGTGGCTATTCCCTGTGGACACAGCTACTGCATGAAGTGTATTACAGGCTTCTGGGATGGAGAGGATGAGAAGAAGATCCACAGCTGCCCTCAGTGTAGGCAGAGCTTCACACCGAGGCCTGTCCTGCTGAAAAACACTATGTTAGCAGCTTTAGTGGAGGAGCTGAAGAAGACTGGACTCAAAGCTGCTCCTGCTGATCACTGCTATGCTGGAGCTGAAGATGTGGCCTGTGATGTCTGCACCGGGAGAAAACTGAAAGCCTGTAAGTCCTGTCTTACGTGTTTTATATCTTATTGTGACAAACACCTCCAGCCTCATTATGAATTGCCTGCCTTTAAAAAACACAAGCTGGTGGAGCCCTCCAAGAAGCTCCAGGAGAACATCTGCTCTCGTCACGACGAGGTGATGAAGATGTTCTGCCGCACTGATCAACAGTGTATCTGTTATCTCTGCTCTGTGGACGAACACAAAGGCCACGACACAGTGTCAGCTGCTGCAGAAAGGACTGAGAGGCAGAGAGAGCTGGAGGGGAGTCGACAAAACATCCAGCAGAGAATCCAGGACAGAGAGAAGGAGGTGAAGCTGCTTCAGCAGGAGGTGGAGGCCGTCAATGGCTCTGCTGATAAAGCAGTGGAGGACAGTGAGAAGATGTTCACTGAGCTGATCCGTCTCATGGAGAAAAGAAGCTCTGATGTGAAGCAGCAGGTCAGATCCCAGCAGAAGAGTGAAGTGAGTCGAGTCAGAGAGCTTCAGGAGAAGCTGGAGCAGGAGATGGCTGAGCTGAAGAGGAGAGACGCTGAGCTGAAGCTGCTCTCTCACACAGAGGATCACAACCAGTTTCTGCTCAGCTACCCCTCACTGTCAGCCCTCAGTGAACCTACACACTCATCCAGCATCAACATCCGTCTTCTGAGCTACTTTGAGGACGTGAAGGCGGCCCTGTCAGCAGTCAGAGACAAACTACAGGACGTCCTGAGAGAGGAATGGACAAACGTCTCACCGACTGAAGTGGATGTTTTACTGTCACCAGCAGAGCCCACCACCAGAGCTGGGTTCTTCAAATATTCACAGGAAATCACACTGGATCCAAAACCAGCATACACACAGCTGTTATTATCTGAGGGGAGCAGAAAAGCAACACGCATGGGACAACACTCTTATTCTAGTCATCCAGACAAATTCACTGATTGGCCTCAGGTCCTGAGTAGAGAGAGTCTGACTGGACATGTGTTACTGGGAGGTGGAGCGGAGAGGGCAGGAGTTTTTGTAGCAGTCCATACAAGAATATCAGCAGAGCAGGGGTGGGTATGAATGTGGATTTGGACGCAATGACAAATCTTGGTCCTTAGATTGTTCCAAAGCACTTATTACAGTGCATCACAACAATATCAAAACTCCCGTCTCAGGTCCTCCGTCCTCCAGAGTAGGAGTGTACCTGGATCACAGAGCAGGTATTCTGTCCTTCTACAGCATCTCTGAAACCATGACTCTCCTCCACAGAGTCCAGACCACATTCACTCAGCCGCTACATGCTGGAGTTTATCTTTGTTATGGAACCACAGCTGAGTTTTGTAAACTGAAATAGGCTGAAGTCATGTGAGGAACTCTTCTACTTCTTAAACTCATTGTGTGTCCATCATTGTTGCTGAGAGCTGATTGTTCATGTCTTCACTGCACAGAGATCAGCTGTCAATCAAACATTATGGGATGTGCTTTAACATCTTCTCATGAGTTGTTCTGTAGATGTTGGAGTTTCTTTAGGCGGCGCTCCTTCCTGTGTCTGTTTAGCCATGGAGGCTGTCACTGCTCAGGAGGATTTCTGTTAACCTCAACTCATATTTCTCTGCATGGAAATGTAAACTTTGCTCTAAATATTTGTTGAATATTGATATTGATGTATTTGTATGTTGTTGTTTCTCTTGTAAAGCTTGAGTCTTCAGAGAGAAAGCACCAGAGCTTCTTTCATTGGAGATATTTTTTCTGGCCACTTTCTCAACAATAGAGACATTTATAATCACATGTATTATTTTGACAGATTAAATATTATTGTTGCTTCCCAAATTAAGTAACAAATGAGTTCCCCAGATGGTTATAACACTTATTTAATCATAAAATGTTTAATTAAAATGATATTACTTACTGTCATGATCATAATCAATAAGTACATAATTTATTATTCTCCTGTCAATAGCTTAGAGTCTTTCTTTGGGAAATACATTGTATAATATTACAGTTATTGTTTGCAGACTAATTGTTGTTGTTGTTGTTGTTGTTGTCCAAATAGAAAGTGGGTACTCTGATGTTTTATAGAACACTAATTATCATGATAATAATCAATAAGTAAATGATGTATGATTCTGTTTGAAATAGCTGAGATTCTGATTGTGTGGATGAAGTGAATCTGATCATGAAATCATTGAACGACTTTACTGATGGGATGTGTGATCAAATTAAATGTTTAGATATTAATAAAGGTTTGTCTTTCAAAAATAAACAAAGGATGTTCTTCTTGTATTATGTCCAAGGTGCCATAACATTTAACCATTTTCATTCAAATCATTTCACTTTTCTACATTTCTCCGCTAAGTTCAGCAGTTTAGCTCAAAGCAGCTACAGTCACCATTCAACTATTAACATATTCAGCTTTCTCTGCATTTTCAGCTAATTCAGCAACACATGTGCGCAGCTTACAGCTTTCACACGCATTTTCAGCCGGAAATGCATTTTCTAGTCTAACTACAACTGCCTTCCTCCATGAAACTACCAGCTTTCTGTGGTGAGTATTTGACTATATTTAAATGTGTATACTTGTGGAAGCCCATTCTCTAAAAAGGAAAGTTGCATAGTTAACAATGGTGAAAGTAACTTAGTACATTTACTCAAGTAATGTAGCCTACTTAAGTATAATTCGGGTACTTCTACTTCCACATCATTAATACAAATCTGCATATGAACTAAAGGTATTAAAGAAATGTAGTGGGGTAGAATTACAAAGTACCTCAAAAATGTACTTGATAAAATCTACTTTTCACTGTACTTCAATACATTTCAGAGGCTTTTAATGCACTTCATTTATTTGACAAAAGTAGTTGCTTTTTATACAAATTCATGTGTTTATATGATATATATGTTCTACAAATTGACTCAGTACTTTCCAAAATGTGCTCCATATTGACGAAGTCCAACATTAAAAAAACTCATGTATTTTCTCATGATGAAAACAAGATATTATAATATTGTATAATAATACAACTCTTATATAAAAGAGTACTTTTACTTTTGATACCTGAGTACATTTAGCTGATAATACTTCTGCCAATAGACAATAAATAGAAGTTCTTTGGAAAGTTCAACACTTTTCTTCCGTGACAGTTTCAACCTGCATGGCACTAAAATAAATATATATCAAGGTGAACCTGTCAGACTCCAAGTGGGAGGACTTCCATGTGATCACTGTGTGTGTGTGTGTGTTGTGTGTGTGTGTGTGTGTGTGTGTGTGTGTGTGTGTGTGTGTGTGTGTGTTGTGTGGTGTGTGTGTGTGTGTGTGTGTGTGTGTGTGTGTGTGTGTGTGGGTGCGTGCGTGCGTCGTGCGTGCTTGCGTGCGTGCGTGCGTGCGTGCGTGCGTGCGTGCGTGCGTGCGTGCGTGCGTGCGTGCGTGCGTGCGTGCGTATGCGTGCGTGTCACTGGAGCGTTGAAGATGTACTTCAGAGAGCTGCCGGAGCCTCTCTTCACCTACGCTCTCTTCCACGACTTCATCAGCGCAATCAGTACGTGAAACACACAGCTGCACCAACACTATCTGCAGTCATTCACGCATTAACTCTGAAGTCAGTCTACTGTCTGTAACACCAGGAAGCCTCTCTGATGGCGCATTCCCACTGCAGGGCCTCGCACGGCTTAGTACGGTATAGTTAGGCCTTGGTAGGGCAGGCTCACTTTATGCTGCGTTTCCATTACAGTTTAGTAGCTGCTGGGCAGTAACTATAGTAACGCAGTGTAGGCGGAGCCGTGACGTCATCTTCAATGCGAACCACAGAAAAACAACATCAGCCGTTAGCTGTTAGCACTCAAGCTCACAGCTCCTCATATCTGTTCAGAAACTAGACAAAAGTTAAACAAGTACAAACCACAGACTGCCTGTGTCATGGCGAATACAGTCGCTGGTTTATTTATGTCCTGTAGGCCGTTGTTGTGAGTGTGGACGGTCGAGCATATACTGCGTTAGCTTAGCCGATCTCCATTCAGGAAAAACACACATTTTAAAAGGTTTTTTGCCTGCCGTCTGTCTGCAGACTTGTCAAGCATTAATTCATGGTTTTTACTACCGGTATCAGTATGTTGTTACTTCGGCATCATTTTGAAACGTGTATTACAATTAAATCACGGTCAAATATGTTCATTTTGTTGTAGTTGTAGCCCCATTGCCAGCGATTCTCTCTCTAGTTCAGCATATACAGCCCGGGTTGTTGGCCCGGAAGAACCTGGATTTTGGAGAGCCAGAAAAACTGTGAAACAGTACCGTTAGCCTCTTTGTAAACAGCGTAGTACACATATTGTCTTTTATTGGGAATAAGTCAAACAATCTACATATGTTGTGGATGTGGAAGTAGTCAGTGAAACAACAGAAGGAGGCATGAGACTCTGTGATGAATCCAGATGATTCACTTTGATAAATGTTGTGTTTTCTGTTGTGCAGAGAGTCCAGACTACAAGCAGCGGGTTCAGTCCATCAAAGATCTGGTCCGACAGCTGCCCGTCTGCAACCACGACACCCATGCAGACTCTCTTCAAGCACCTCAGGAAGTGAGAAAAACACTCTCTTACTGCTCTATCATTTGTTTTTTTCCTTTTCTTTTGCTTGCTGTGTATAATGCCGACAAATCAAATCACACTTTGTTTGCCTTTCTCTTGGCGACATCTGCGGCCTGAGGCTTTTTGAGTTGTCCGTCAGAAATAACTTCCAAACATCTGTCTGTCTGTACGCCTCGTTCTCCTGAACATATTTCAAGGAATGCAGAGGGAACCTTTTCAGATCTGGCACAAATGTGGACTGTGACTTAAGATGAACTGATCAGGAAATGTGCGATGAAAGCTAACTGCTAATTAGGACAATTTCACAAATAGGATTAGATAGGCCTGATGACAATTTGGACGAATTTGGTTGAGGCAAGACGATCGAGACTCTGTAATACGAGTATAGCGGATTTATGAGTTGATAATAATTAAAGAATATTGAGTTTTTCCTCCATATTTTAGGCTTTTTCTCATTCTATAAATGTCCACCTTATATTTTCAGAAAATGACCAAATAAATCACGGAATGTATAAATTACGTTCTAAGAAATTCTGAGTTTTTACTCGTTACTTTTAACTCCCCTGCCCAGGTTTGTATATTTCACCTACAACGGTCCTAAATAAACCATCATACATATCTGATTATAAATAAACGACAGCATTACGGAGCATGATTGTAAACAGTAGAGCAGGGGTTTTCAAAGTGTGGGAAGGTGAGCCTCCCCTCAGAGAACATAAGAACAAGCCGCGCCCCCCCCTCCCAATTATTATTGCTGCTATTATTAGGGTCTGAGACCTAGGTCGGCGAAGACCCTATTGAAATCGGTCGCGCAGCAACCGATAAACCTTTGAACCCCGCAACATATGTGAAAACTCACCAAATGTTGCACGCGCGTCAGAAGTGGTGCAACTTCAGATGTGTAATTGGTTCCGGAACTTTGCGTCAAAAATTGCGTAGGCCACGCCCACTTCCGTTTTTAACGTAAACTCCCCCCACTTTAACTTTCACGTAAATGAACGAAACTCGCTACGCATATCTAGGGTGCGGAGACAAAACCCAAAAGCCTCTTGGAGGGGTATAAAATAACGTACAGGAAGCCGGCCATTTTGAATTTGGCGTCGGAAAAACGCGATTTATCGCGTTTTTTCGTCCTAACGCACGAAATCTATCTTCTCCCAGGGACTTTATCCGTACGACTCGAAATTCGTCGGGTAGCGTCTCGAGACATGGGCAATTCAAAGTTATCACGGAAGTTTTTTTCTTTCGCGTTCCGCTCCGATGCTCCGATGCTAGGCGATCCCCTCGCCATGGAAACACGATGATGTCATAACGCCAACTGACATACTCAAACGCCACCAAACTTCACATGATGGTTAACACTGCGGCCCTGAACAGCTCTTCATCAAATTTGATGTTACTTAATATGGCGTTACCATGGCATCCCTCGCCATAAAACACGGTGTCGCTGTAACTCCAATGGACACGGTCCCATCGTCCCCAATCTTCACTTTTATATCACCGGTCCATGCCTCAACAGCTCTATGTGAAATCTGAGATTTCCATGGCAACGCATCCCTCGCCATAAAACACAATGTTGTCTTAAATCAATGGAAAATGGTCCAAACGGCACGAGACTGCAGATGACAGTTAATGGTCCGGCCCTCAAAACCTCAATATGACAATAGGGAGTTTTCCTCAAAAGCTGTTGCCATGGCAACGCATCCCTCGCCGTTAAGCACCATATTGCTTTAACTCCTGTGTAAATGGTAAAAAAGTTCACGTGTACTAACCGTCAAGCCCTCGAGACATATATGTGTCAGTTTTTAGATTGGTCAAATTTCGTTGCCAGGGTAACAAAATGGTCGCCGTGAAACACGGTTCTCTCATAACTCCAGTTAACATGCTCCAAACGGCCCAAAACTTCACAGGTTTGATAACGATGCAGCCCTCAACACATCTAGGCGTATTATGGGGTGTCATCAAATTCCGTTGCCATGGCGACAGATCACTCGCCATCAAACACAATGTTTATGATACTGCTGTAACTCCTAAATACATTGGCCGATCGGCCTGAAACTTCCCACGTTTGCCAACGGCCGAGTCCTTGAGACACCTAGACACACACGTCGACGTGCGGACAACAGCCTGCGGAGCGTCGAAGACCCGCTCAACGCTGCTTGCAGCTTTAATTATTATTATTATTATTATTGTTGTTGTTGCTATAATGCAGGGGTATTATTATCCAGTGGAATTCCCTTATCTACTGGCCTAGTTAATTCAAAGTGGTTACTTTTGTTTGGCTGGGCAGTGTAGTTTTACACACCCGTCTTATTTGACTTTCTCAGGACTTAAAACTGTTTTTTGGGGGCAGACCCCACAAAGAAAAAAATATATTTACGCACGTAAGGTCATCATCTTAAGAGTTTTTTATGCTCATCGAGTCATCCGTGAGCAGAGCATCAAGTTGGCATGCCTATTAGAGCTGAATGCGGCGATTACCATGTTGTTCAGCAAAACGCCTCACAAACTTATTAAGATCTAAAGCTTTAGTGTTAATTACGTATCTGCGCACTGCGTTTTTTGCACTACTAAATATTGTTA